CAACAACACACCTTCCCCTCTCTCTTTGTGACACCTTGACAGGAGCGACTCGTGTGGACATACACGCGGTCATCCGAGGCGATGCTGATTACGTCGCTCACCACGGGCGCCGCCTTTGTCATGAATCTCTCCTCATCCGTCCCGGCCATCCAGATCTTTGGCGCCTTTACCGGACTCATGGTGTGTGTGTGTGTGTGTGTGTGTGTGTGTGTGTTGCATGACGTGCCGGCAAGGTGCACAAGCCCGCAAGCAGTGTCTATCATGAATGCTGCGTTGTCGCTCACACACACACACACACACACACTCACACACACACACACATACATACACATACGTTTCGTTACAGATTCTCTTCAACTTCATTCTGGTCATCACGTACTTCCCGTTTGTGGTGGTGACACATCACTGCTTCATTCGTCATTTCCGCTACCCGTGGCTTCGGCGCTGCTCAAACAAAGACAAGAAGAAGCTTGAAGCATCGTCGTCCTTCGGTAATTGCGCAAGCCCTTGCCTCTGCACATCGTTCCACGTACATCTTCTGCACAGCACCCTATTCCTCATGTTGTTGTACTTCGATGCTGGTTGCTACTTGTAGGCGGAGATCAAGCACAGGAAGTGACCAGCAACAAAGTTGTTGGCCAACACCACAACATCAACGAGTATCGTGCACTGGAGCGGTTCTTCTACAAGTCCTACGCCCCCTTCATTCACAAGCGCGTGCGTATTGACATGATGCAATCATGACATGCCGCAAGCATGGTCTTTGCCATGGTTGCATTTATCCGTTGTAGCTGTGTCCTATTGGCTCTTCAATGTTCCTTCGTGCCAGCTACCACGACACAAACCATGACTCGCACACTCACGCTCACTCACTCTCACTCTCATTTTCACACACCATTCTCTCTCCTTACCTGTACAGCGGTGGCATTTGGTCGCTGTGTTTGCCATTTGGTTTGGCGTCAGCATCTACTTTGCATCCGAACTCAAGGCCGCAACGTATGTCTCCGATGCTGCGTTGATCCGTTTGGCTCTCTCCGTGTTTTGTGTTTGTGTGTGTGTGTGTGTGTGTGTGTGTGTGTTTTCATGGTCATGAATTTGCAGTGTTCTGTCCACGTGTGCTGCTGCTGCTTTCGTGTGCACTCAACGAGGCTGCGTGGATGTGTTCAACGACGCCTACGTATGCTTGCATATGCGCCCATCCTTGGCAGCGAGCCAACACAATGGTTGCCAAGCAGCGACAAGCTACAACAGGCCTTTGACATGCTGAACAGCGATTTTGCGCGGACTGACCTCGTTCCACAGATTGTTGTCATGTATGGTGAGTGCACCGCTGGCATGCGTGTGCAGAGGACAGTGCTCACAACACGCTTGGCTCTGACGCGAGACCACACACGCATGCTGATGGTTACACACACACGCGCGCGCATGCTTGTACACCTATATAGGCCTTGAAGTCGTCGACCTGTCTGGTGTGAATCCATACAATCCAAACGACCCTGCTCGCGTCGTGTTTGATTCCGGCTTCGACCCAACTGCTCCCAACTTTCAGGTGTGTGCATGTGTGTGTGTGTGTGTGTGTGTGTGTGTGTGTGTGCGTTTGCTAGTGGGTGAGTGAGTGTGTGCGTTTGCTAGTGGGTGAGTGAGTGTGTGGGTGTGGTTGTGATTTGATACTTGTGCTGGCCAGTGGATACATGCGGGTGTCCGTGTGGGAGTGCGCGTTTGACTCGCTTGTGCGAAGAAGCATGCAATTGACCTCACGACCCAAGCTACACACTACAAACTACAAACTACAAACACCCATGTGCGCCACCTCTGTTGCCACGCTAGGAGACGTTCATCTCCATCTGCGAGCGATTTAGGGAGGAGGGCGAGTTTGTGCTTGAGGAGGAGATTCTGTGCCCGATGGAGCTCTTCCGCGACTATGTCACAAACGAGCTGGGAATGTCAGTTGCCGTTGCCGCGCCTGCGAATGCATGCATGCTCTCGTTAATTGTGACGAGCTCTCACCAGCTTATTCACTTGTGTGTGCTCCCTTCATCACTCACATGTGCAACACGACGCACGCGCACGCACACACGCACATGCACATATTTCTGCGCTGCCACTCCCTTTGGTCGTGTTCGACAGGGCCTTCCCAGTCCCGAGAGACGACTTTGTGCCCTTGCTGGCGAACTTCACGCGATATTACGAGGATAACAACGGGCCCGCCCCCGATGTGTCCGGCGACGTGGCATCATCTGAGCAGGACGCAGTCACCCGAGAGGAGCGCTCGCGAGAGCAGGTTGAGGTGTACCAGACCATCCGCTTTCACCTCGACACGCAAGAACCTGAGCTGGCGTACATGTTCATCGTCGTCAACACCACGCTGAGCGTATTCAGTGCTGGAAACGACATTCGCCCAGCCTATGAATTTTGGGACCACATGCTTGATATGGAAAACGCCCGCGCAGACAACATCGGTACAAATGCTGCTGTTATTGTTGTTGTTGTTGTTGTTGTTGTTGTTGTTGTTGTTGTTGTTGTTGTTGTTGTTGTTGTTGTAGCTGCTGCTGTTGTTGTTGTTGTCGTTGTTGTCGTTGTTGTTGCTGCTGTTGCTCGCAAGTGGAGGTCACATGCACCCATGCACGCACATGCGTTAAAACAGAGGCAACGCTCGACGGTGCGCTGCAAACAGCCGACTTGTACGTCGATCTTCAACTGGAGGACACTTTGTTACGCGCGGCAATTGTTGGCATCGCCGCCAGCCTCTCACTTGCGTTTGTGATCATCATCGTCATGACACGTGACATCACCCTCTCCGTCATGTCTATCATCTCCATCGGGGGCGTCGTCGGTGAGACAAAGCGAAGCTGCTATGCTGGTTGTCTGTGTGCTTGTTTGCATGTCCCAGCTTGCATTGCATGGCTGACGGACGCTCAACTGCACCCACGACGCGTACTCACAACATGGGATTTTTGCTTCACACGCCGTCAACATGCAGTGTCGTTGATTGCACTTATGGTGATGCTGGGATGGACGCTCGGCTTGATTGAGAGCATTTGCTTGACCATCCTCGTCGGTCTCAGGTCAGGGATTCTTTCCTGGCAGGTTTTGCGCATGCACAAAAGCACAAAGACACACACACATACGTGCACACACACACGCACGTACACACACACACACACACACACACACACACCAAAAAAAAAAAAAAACCAACACACACACACGCGCGCGCGCGCGCGCGTATTATGGTTCATACTTGTTTTTTTTTTTGTTTTTTGTTTTTTGCACTTATGAAAACATCTCTTCCTATTTTGCTGTGGCATTTCCTGTTTGCAGTGTGGACTACGTCATCCATCTGGCCAACGCGTATCGCGAGAGCCACGAAGTGACACGGTTCAGCCGCGTGCGGGACGCGCTGGTGGTGATGGGTATCTCTGTCCTCTCAGCCAGCATCACGACGTTCTTGTCTGGATTTGTCCTCTTCTTCGGGTACATCATTTTCTTCTTCAAGTTTGGCGTGTTCATCGCCCTCACCATCTTCTTCGCGGCAATTTGGGCGTTTGGGTTCTTCATGAGCCTCGCAGCCATCGCAGGTACGACGAGCTCAATAAGCCCACGCAAGTTGCTGCCACCTTCAACGTTTGGGGTTGTCATTTATCGCGTTTTGCTGTCATCGCATGCACAAGGACACGCACGTACACTCACACGCACGCACGCACACGCACGCACAGGCAACAAGGAGTATGTCAACGACTTTACGCGTTTGTGGCGTGTGCTCACCGGAAAACAGCAAAAGTTGAAGCTTGCCGGAGTCAACACAAATCCAGAAACGAATGAGATCGAGGCCAGCACGACAGAAACCAAAGTTACCATTATCAATGTGTAATGCTGCTGCGTACGACGACTGTCTGTGATGTCTTTGCGCCAACATGTGCATGTAATTAAACATGAATGGTTAACACCAACCTTCCTTCATGTTGAACAAGGGCCAATATGATTGAGGAACGGCGCGAGTGTTGTTTTTGCCCGCTAGTGCGCTTGCTCGACGCATCATAACGACGATGCTGTTCAATGAGCAAGGCAGTCTTTGGAAAAAACAATAAAAAAATAGTGAGAGTGCCCGTGACCTTTACACCTCCTGTTCACGCAAACGATGACAACAGCGCAATCAAAGTTCCACGTCCCCTGCGGCAGGCAACCTCGCCCGCTTCTTCGAGCGACACATGGAGCTGCAACAGCAGTTGCAGGACGCAGGCGTGCGCCAGGACAACGAGGACCTCTTCACCATCGTCTGGAAGCAGCTGCCACGCTGGACAGCCCCGCTCACGCTTCCCTACTTTGCCAGTGGCCGCTTCCCCTCCCTCCTCGAGCTCAGCATCAGGCTGCAGCAGCTGGAGCAGCAGATGCGTGGTTCACGCACACAGCCGCAGGCAGGCGGCTTCATGGCAAGCGCACCGCCACGCAGAGGTGGAAGACGCGGCTTCTCCAACAACAGCAACAACCACGGACGCCAGGGACGCAACAACGGCGGCGGTAACGGCAACAGCAACAGCAAGGGGCGCCGCTTCCGTGGCAACTGTCACTACTGTGGCAAGTATGGACACCGTGCAGCAGAGTGTCGCAAGAAGCAACGCGACAACGGAGCAACAGGCTTCACTGCACAGGCACAGCATCAACATGGTCAAGACGCAGCAACCTTCGTCGCTGCCACAGCTACTACACCCACGCAGCTGCATGACCCACTCACGTGGCTTGCAGACACGGGTGCTTCACACCACCTCACCTTCGTCAAGGACGCCTTCGTGGAGCTGACACCGCACCTGCAACAGCACCATCCACGCCACATCACTGCGTTTGGCGGCACACGTGTGCCCGTGCGCGGTGTTGGCTCTGTGCTGTTGCATGCACGCACGACGAGCGGAGCTGCGATGCAGATTGTGCTACAGGAGTGCCTCTACGTGCCCGAGGGCCAGGCCAACCTCATCGCCCTCGGTCGTCTGACCCGGGACAGCAGCGGCAGGCCAACGGGCCACTCGCAACGTGATGGCGCTGATGGGCACTACGTGCGCTTCAGCCACGGAGCCGAGGTCAAGCTGAAGGAGCGCAACAGCCTCCGGTGCTGGCCCATTGTTGCTGTTGGTCCATCCACGGCACACGGACTCACCACCGATGCCTGCAAGCAACCACAGCAACCTGCAGCAGCTCCTGCAGCCCAGAGCAAGGCGCACACACCATCGATGCATGAGGTGCTTGGCCACCGCAACGACAACGACGTGCAGCAGTACTGCAAGCTGATGGGCATCGACGATCGCAACGCCATCAGCAGCAAGCAGTGTACAACGTGTGCAGTCACCAAGAGCACTCGTCACAGCGTCAGCAAGCACGCGGAGCGCACACAGGTGCCCGGCGAGCGCATCCACGCCGACATCGTCGACTGGACCGCGGACTCACCCACGGGCAAGCGCTACAGCCTCGTCATCGTCGATGAGGGCAGCAAGCTCTTACATGCAGTCCATCTCAATGCCAAGAAGGACGCAGTTGCCGCGTTCCAGTCTTTCCTGCGCGAGACCAAGCTCCCCATCTCGCCCACAACAACAG